GCATTTCCAGGTATTGACCAGAATGCAGGAAGGTAGAGAGAGCAGTTGGCTCAGGTGCTGCAGATCAGCAGATCCAGTATTGGGCTGTAACTTGGTTTTGTCACTTTAATCCTTTTGTGCAGGACACTCAATAATCTCCTAATAGTACCAAGTTCTCTTTATGGTTTCATAATGTAAAAGCACTTACAGATAAATACTTTCCAGTTACGAATTTTTCAAAAATAATCAGGAGTCCTGTATGTTAGTATTTGCAAACACTCAGTTCTTTTAAGACTGATTTTGTAAACAAACACTCATGAACCTTATCTCTCACAGGTGTGCACCTAACCTTCAATAACCTTTCATATTCCCTAAACTTCTAGTGACTATTGTGCATATGGAAAAGATCATTTGATAATTCATGATGTATTTTATTCTTAATTATATCCATCCATTCATTCAACACGTTTGTCACATGTACAACTAGTCCTGTAGCATGAACTGATTTTTTTCAGGTGTCTTGTAATCAAAACATCTTTATAACCCTATATGGTGAGTTCTGCCTTAATCAACAGCATCGCCTGACTCCACAGTGCAATGTCACATTCTGTGAACTGGCATTTACCATTTGCAGCAGCACAGCATTGCAGATGAGGGGGCTGCACACAAACTCAGGACTCAGAATGATGTTTAGGGCTGTGCTAGACTGGAGGAGTGCAGCAGTAAAGCTGACAACGCACGTCCTTGCTCAGTGAGCGCAGTGCACACACAGTTGCACAAGCATTTTTGCGAATAAATTCTGTGTCACAGTCAGAAATGAATGTGTTACAAAAGAACTTTTTAATTGCTCTATGTTATGATGCTCTGATTTATTAGAATTTCAGTAGTTGTATTTGTCTTACTGTTGATTTTAAATATATTTTGGTTTTGTGGATATGTGAAATCAACAACACTAAACTATCTCATGCAATCATAATATAAATTGTTGCAAAATTGAAGAGAATAAAAGTTCAAGGGCTTTTCCTAAAGTACTCACCTTTTTGCTTATACATTTCCCTGTCTAGCTGGTGTCAATGATGTCACTCGGAAAGCTGAATTAATTCAAATTCAACCCTACTTTATCAGCAAATATCTGGACAAAAGAAAACAAAATTTGATTTTTAAGAAATCCTGGGTTTAGTGTAATATAATAGTATGAACTAATAATACTAAGTAAATCCTACAGCCAGTATTAGTAGTGAAGCAGAAATAATAAATTTGAAATTCCATATAAATAGGATTAAGTAAACAAGCTCCCCAAAAGATGGTACAGATTATCTTATGCCAAAATTACTTGTATATCATTAATTTATTCAATAAAATAATCTAGCTTGTAGATCAAACATCTGAGCAGAGTCATCAAACTGATAAATATTTCTTCTTTCAAGATTCTTTGCTAATAGAGTTTTGATTCATGGATCAAAAAAAAAAATCAGAAGGCAATTATGTACAAGCTAAATAAAAATGTACTCTTTGTCAGTGTCCCTGGAGCAGTTTATGTAATACACGCCATAGGCATCCTTTGGCGCACTGTCTCGAGTCTGACAGAAATAACGTACTGCAGTTATGTGGGCTATGAAATGCAGCTCTTCAGAGAGCAGAAGTCCCCAGAAAGCCTCAGGAAATCCTAGCATTTACACAGCTGATGTTACCACATGTCTGAGTGCTCACTGCAGAAAGACAGGTCAAGGTTTGTTGTTATGTAGTTTAAGAAAACCATTCCTCAGAACAATTTTGATCTTCTGATGGCCTCTTTGATTGCCCATATTGATCTAACTGGTTTTACTGGTGTTAAAATCTGAGAGTTTCCTTCAGTCCCATAAATGCTGGCTCCCAAAGCTGACCTCTTTTCTTCATGACAGGATGATCCATTTTCTGCACTGGATATCCACCTAAGTGATCATCTCATGCAAGAAGGGATCCTGAAAATGCTGCGGGAAGACAAGCGGACCATTGTCCTAGTGACTCACAAGCTGCAGTACTTACCCCATGCTGACTGGGTAAGAAAGCTCTTCTCACTTTTTCTGAGGTGACAAGAATGTGACATGAATATGTCTTGCTACAAACAAGGCTTTTGCTTCATCTTTCCACCAAGCAGTGGAAATCCACCAAGTTTAGTGAGAAGAGACATAATAAAGGTTTTTTGAAAATGAGCCAGTGAGCTTGGGGTGCCATAATTTTGGGATTCCCATCTTGAAACACCTAAATTGGATTAAATTGTCATAGATTTGATACTTAATACACTCATGAAAGCAGGCTGCATTTAAAATATATTGAGTATCCCAAACCATTAGTTATATTGGAAAATTTTGCTCATATTTTAGTCTCAAAACAGTGAAATGTTTGAGTAATGTGTTTGCCTCTGCTGAGATATAACTAGGAATTTTTCTGTGCTGTCACAGAAAAAGATGTGTTTATGGATATTGAGGTGTATGGAAACACAAAGAAAAATAACTGTTTCCTTGTGGTTAGTACTAGTACACAGTGTGCCAAGAACATCTTTACCCTTTGTATTGTTAGTAAAATTTTAAGAAACGTGTAGTAGTCAGTTGTTTAGTTAGGTTTCTTTGTTGCAACTTGTAGTTTACAGCAAAAAAATGAAAGTATGCTTCAGTTTGCAATTGCAAATGTCAGAGATGAAGCAAATCAAGTAGGATTAGGAGGTTTGGATTTTTCAAATTTTTTTTTAGTTCATTGATTCACACTGGCCTTGTGCTTCATACTCCTACAGTTATCCAGGTACATCACAGGTCTTTTTGCCCACAAGGATTGATGACTGCAGTTATGCCTCCTAGCAGGACTTCTCTCTCATTTGCAGCTTGCACAGACTATAGCGGCAGTTACTCTGTCTCAAGAATAATCGTATTTGAGCTGCTCTCTGCTCTTCGTATTGGCTTGCTATAAAGTTGCAGATAGACATTAATCTTGTTCTGGTCATGCTTTTGGTGGGCAGGACTTATCCCTTATGGAGTCTAAGGTGACCTTGCCTGTCACTTGTACACCTTTAAGAATTACTGCTGTTCTCAAAACAGTCCTAGTTTTCCAGTTGGGTTCTCTCAGGATACAGGAATTTTCTGTCTTCTTCCCCTCCCTGTGAGGTCCATCTTAGCTTCCTCTTTTTCTGCCATTACATATATGCAATTTTAAAATATAAACAGCTGTGGCATTGTATCAGTGTAATCTTCTTAATTTTCTTTATGAAAGTGAGACCCATTTGTAGATGTTTGTGTTTTATGAGGTATTCTATGAGAATTATTTTATTTTTATTATCTTCTAATTGTATTTCAGCAATGTTTTATGAAAAATACTGTTCCAAACAGCCTGTAGGATAGGAAGGATTTGTATTAATTAGGTTTATAATAAAAAATACTTATGAAGAAATAGTTCAGGTTTTTTTTCCTAAGAACAGGTCTCATTAAGCCTTAGCAAGTCTTGCCCAATGGACTGCGGCAGGAATATTTATTTTATTTTATTAAGGAATTTTAAATAAAAATATAATTTGAAGTATATATGATAGCCCTTCTAATTCTCTGTAGCAAAGCCTCAAAAGAACTCAACGTCCAGCCCAGTTACAGGTTTCCTGAATAAATTGGCCACAGAGAGATACGTTTTTTCTTTATTTTTTCCTCTGGTGTAGATTCGTAGCAATAAGTGGAATAGAGTATTTTCCCACCCCCTCCAACTCCCATCCATAGAAATTTCTGAGTTGCCAGGGAGAAAGAAAAATAAATACTGCACTGACTATTTTCTAATGATGTCACATGGGTTTACAATCCACATGCCTCATTTTGCAATTCCCCTTCTCAGATCTAAAGTGAAGGTAGTTACGCCGTGTGTATAATGTAGTTACACTGATATGAATCTGGAAACCACACCCTTCAGGCTTTGTCTTGCATATTTTTTTTTCCAAGCTGTGTCCACCATTTGTGCTTTTAAAAGCTTTAGGGATTCAAATTCCCTAGCTTTTCCTTATCAGGTCCATGATATCAAACAGACGGTAGAGCCAGCATGCTCATATCTAATTGCCTGAATGAGGGAAAAACATGCTGTGCAGAGTGTGTTGCTAAAAGGCTTTTCCTTTTAGGAGGTAAGAGAACTCTAAAACCTTATCTTGCTAATGACTTGTACTTAGGAAGAGTAATGTACTCTCCTGTCTGCTGACAGGGACCCCATTCTTCTTCTTTCTTACTTAAAAGCAGCCTTCCTTTCTGAAAGCATGCAGTGCACTAGTTTCTGTTTTTGCAGCATCTTGAGTAAAGGGGATAGAGTCAAAAGAAACTTCACTATCTTCTTAGAAGACAGATTTGTTCACAGAAATATTCTTTCTTTAATAAAAGAGAAAATTCTGTCCAGGCACAGCAACATAGCTTTAAAATAAATAGAGATACATGACTATTTGTCTTACCACTTGTGTTTCTAACATTTTAGATAATTGCAATGAAAGATGGTAACATCCAGAGAGAAGGAACACTCAAAGACATCCAGAAATCAGAGACTGAGCTCTTTGAACACTGGAAGACATTGATGAATCGACAGGACCAAGAGCTGGAGAAGGTTTTTGATGGGCAGGGCAATCAACATTTGCAAAAAATGTGACGGGTTTTTTTCTTAGGTTGTGTTAGCATTAGCAAGGATTGACATGCTGTGTGTGATTTCTGACTTACTATGAATGCAGTATTACTATTGCCGTTATTATTTCTCTATTAAGAGAAATTTCTCCATCTGAATATCTCATACTTCCTTGATACTGTTGCCTCTGATCCATTCTTGATTGGAAGCCCTATCAAAATATTATTGTCGAAGGAATATTACATTGAGCCATTTTAGGAAAAACATTGGTAAGGTGCAATACTGACAACTGCTTTTATAGATATGCCTGATTTTACTCACTGTGTTGGGCAGAAGTTTTTCAGATGTGCCTATATCAGGTTTTCTAAATCATTAACACATTTTTGTCTTTAATAGAAGAAGAATGAGATATTCATCTTAGTTCTTATTAGTTCAGGGTTATCTATCCAAGTTCAGATTCCAGGAGGGCTGGGATTGACAACATGAAATTAATGTCAGAGATCTAATTTATGTCCTGTGGTTTTACACAGAGGTAGCAAATCAGTCACTTCTGCCTGCCTGCTGTTCTCACTTTCATTTTTCACTGATGTTCTGATTGGAAACAAATTTTGTCACAGCTAGCAATTTTTCTGTTAGTTCTCTGGATGAAAACACATGAACTGTCCCCTTTTTTAGGAGACCATTATTGAAAGAAAAACTGTTTTGGAAAGAACCAATCTCAGGAGGACTATGTATTCCCGTGAAGCTCTGCTGAAAGATGATGAAGAGGATGAAGGTAAAAGAGCACCCTTTGTGTCCAGTACTGCTGCACTACTGTTTCACAGTTAAATTATTTCAGAATTAATTAACATAATTCAAACTGGCAGGAATATAATAAATTTTCAGGTGCACTGTGATTCATAAGAGTGCTATTTCCATTGATTTTTACCTCTGGACTACAGTGATTTCAAGCATTCAGAAGTCATAGCTTCCTCCAAACTTTTGAGGTGCTTTTCTTGAATGTGATTTGATAATGAAAGAGGAATAATATTGACTAACTTTTGCTGGGTGAGCCTCAAACCTGTCAGTAGCTAAACACACTTGTTTAAGGTTTTACATAGGAAAAAAACTGAAATTCATTTTTATCAAGCCAGCGCTTTTAAATTGCAAAAACATGGCTGAAGACATTGCTCACCTAGTGCCAAGGTTTTCTGCATCTTTTTAGCATGCATTACTACTAACTTTAGCAGGTTAATACATGCATGCCTAAGCAGGTAATTTCACCTTAAAGCCACTCTTCATCCTGTATGATGAGACCTGTTCTGTAGCTGCTACTTGCCAGTCACTATGAAAGCTGTGAGAGTAAGTCATTGTCGCTGTACTTTTTTTTTACGCATTGCAGAAGAAGTAACAGAAAGTGATGATGAAGACAACCTGTCCTCGGTGCTGCATCAGCGAGCAAAGATGCCCTGGAGAGCCTGTGGAAAGTACCTCAGCGCAGCAGGGATCCTCCTCCTGCCGCTGCTGGTGCTGTCCCAGCTGCTGAAGCACACGGTGATGGTGGCCATCGACTACTGCCTGGCACGCTGGACCTCGGCTGCCATTTCTGGGAAGACAGAGCTGGAGCTCAGAAACTGCTCTTACTGCGAGGTGTGCAATGCCTTGTTCACCTTCCTCTTATGATTTAACCAGTGGTGATCTGCCACTGTCAACCTCTGCTCCAAGGTTGTGTGGGATGTGCTATATTTCTAGTCATGGAGCCACTCCAGAGAATTTTGAACATTAATGCATTTTTGGATACACAGTGTAAGAAAGCTAACAGATTTTGTGCATTGCTGTTCTTCTTTTGCTAGATTTGTAGTATTTTCATCATCTAGTTGATATGCCTAAACCTTGGTCTCTAAGGTAATCCTGTACTGTTACATTCTCTCTGCAAGTAGGGCTTTCAGGTTTTGTAACATACAGGAAACACAGATATTTTTATTTTTATTTTTATTTTTATT